TGATGGGTATATAAGATTCGGCATAATATAACACTTTTGTTAATTATCTATATAATACATCTATATCTGTATATAAAATTCTAACGTTACTGACTGACTGATTCATCATCACACGGCCTAAACGGTTGAAGCTAAAGAGCTGAAATTTGGACAGGAGGTTGGTCTCCCACCAAATAGATGCACTAAGAAAATTCGAATGTTTAAGGGCTAAAAAAGTGTAAATTCGGTAACCTAAACTAGAAAAGATACAAAAACAGTTTAAAGCTTATCGTCGTTCATTAAAAAAGTAAGCGGACAGATGTCTGGTATATTTGGTTTATTAACTTGTATATATCGTCACCTAAAACGCAAACTGACCTATCTAACATTTTTAAAATTTTACAGGAGAAGCAAAAAACTATTTAAATTGAAAAGTTTATTTCTATCAACGCGATTTATTTGTAGGAAATAAACAAATTGTTTAATAGTCAAACCTATTATTTGTTATGATAGTTGACAATGGCGTATATAAAAATGGATAAATTGGACTTTCATATATTTTAAGTATTGAACCTATAAACACCCAGACATTCCTCTCATACAGATTTTTATATAATCAGGAAGCTGCGTATCCAATTTTATGTTTATAGGCTAAATATTATAGAAAATTCGAAAAGTATTAGTAAAATAAAAAAGTTCAATATTGTAGAAAATTCAAAAAGTACCAGTTAAAGAACGAAAAAGTACCAGAAAATACTCTATTTTAAATTTTCATTCAATCAAGTCCTTGACTGCTTAGTTTTATGTGTCTAGGATCACAAAAATAGAAAACTCAAAAAGTACCAGTTGAAGAACGAAAAAGTACCAAAAGCATAGAAAAGGTATACATAGAACTGAAACTGAGTATAACAAAACCTAAGTCTGCTGTCAAAAACCTAAGTCGTGAGAATGTATTAGTTGAAAAATATGTAACCCAACAAACACAAACTCTTTCGTTTAAAAAGTTTTTATATTTTTGTTTGATATTATATTTCGATATTTTATGAAATAATGGTTTGAATTAGCCATTTTTATTCAATATCAGTTGACCAATGTAAGAAAGATCTTCATTAAAAATTATTTTTAATTTTAAATAAACTCTTTGTGGTTGCTGGGTTGAGTCAATATTGACACTTGAAAATAATATTAAAAAATAAAAACGATTGAAAAATTTGTTTTTTTTTTTTCTGAAAATGTTTTCAATAATTTTATGGGAAAACATAACTTTTAGCAGTGTTTATTGCAGCAGCAGGGGCTATTTTGCCAAAGGAATTGTGCTAATGCTAAAATTAACGCTTGATATGAACGATTATTGTTAATTTCAATGCAGCCCAAATGCAGTCAAAATACACCCTACACCACACTAATGGGAACGGTATTTTGTTCACGTCTTAAAGTTTGTAACACCTGCGTCGATGTAATGATGTAATCCGCCCATAAATTAGCCTATTGAACTTTTTTGTAAGCGGTACATGCTATACAAGAATAGAGTATTTATAAAATTCGACTCAACAAATTTTATATATACGAAATTTTGACTACATATTGTTATAATGAGTAGTACATTCATTAATTAAGCAAACATCAATCTCTTGAATATAACTTCTACATTAAAAAATACTAAATAACTTATTGCTACTTACTCGCAATGTGGTAGGGTATGGTGTATTCGGATACATTTTGTACTTTCATATTTTTGTTATTTTATGTAAACAAAAATAAAAATACTCATACAATTGTAATAAATTCACACAGAACCTGTACATGTGAGAGAGTAATATTTCTTATTCTCAGTTTCAGTTCTATTTATTTTTCTATGACCAAAGTATATTAATAAAGTAGCGACATCTCTTGTTGTACAACAACATCTACAACAACCACATGTATTTTGTTTTTGGAATTTGTTTCAATTGTGTCAAAATCATATGGTTTTTGTTTACAAAATTTAACAAAAATTTCATGAACAACAATGTGTAGAAAATATAAAAACATAATATTCATAAATTTAATTTTAAGCTAAATTTAACAACTTGAAGAAAAATATTGAGTCATGCAGAAGATGACTCTTTTGTGACCTGTTGCAAGCGCAATAATAAAAACTCTTCCAACACTGAATTTTTTTCCCAATATGCTATGAAATTCGTTGAACATTGTGGCAGATACGTAATGGTATGGGATTCTTGTTCCTACTTTGGAACATGTTCTATATTTCGGAGTGAGGGAAGATTGAACTGTAATTGTCCAATAATTATACTTAAAGATGTTATACTGAATGGGAAATACATAGCACTTTTTAAGGAAATTAGCGACTTTTGTGTCGTCATAACCTAGCGTCTTTTGGCACCATAGCTAGGCACGTCATTTTCCAAAAGTTCTATATTTATTAGAAAAGTTTTTATTGCGAAAAGAAAATATTTTTACTTTAAAAAGTAATGTTATTTATTTATAATTATATTGTAAAATTTGTTAATGTACACATATGGGAAATTCTCTTTTTATTTTAGATTTTAGGATTCAAAAAAATGCTTGATTAAAAACTGTGAGGATTTAAATTTGTTTATGCATATATTTGAATGCATTTTCTGATTTTGCTATAGACCTCATTAATAGCAACCTATAATAGCTACCGATTGATCTTTATTGTTACCAATTTTAATTAGCGGTTCAGGTGTGCTTCTTCGAATTATTTAGCAACACAAGAAACACCACGTTTTCGGTGCAAGAAAAATTTTGATGCAATTTCTTTAGCAGTAGCGTATCCCTGCTTATCTACCATTAACTGCTATTTTCATTTCTAAGTTTAAATTAATTAATAATTTATAAAACAGTTAAAATGAAAATCTGTTCGGTTAATTGCAATTTTGTAAAGACATTTTATATACACATGAATGAAATTTTTTATACTGCATTTAAAGCAAAAACGTACTTTTTCGAACGGTTTATCGATTTTGGTATAATCATTATTGTCAGCTACCGTTTGATGTTTAATGTTACCAATTTTAATTAGCGGCTTGGGTGTGCTTCATCGATTTCTTTTGTAAAAGAAACCCCGCGTATACAGTCCATGAAAGGCCTATATTGAATTTTTTTATTGCACACCAATGTTTTCTAAATAAAGATTGATTATTTATCAGAGCTGTAAATGAATCTTTCATTTCTGATTTTAATTCGTTTACGAATTGGCTTAATTTTGAATTAATTCCTTTCACAAAAAAGAGAATTGAATGAAATTTGAATCAATTCAAATGAATTTGGTAGAACTTCATTTCCAATTCAAATGAATTTGCCGAATGAGTTGCAATTCGTTTCCAATTCAAATGAATTGCAATTCGTTTCTAATTCATTTCCAATTCATTTGAATTGATTTTGAATTAATTAAAATGAATTAGAACAATGAATTGCATTTCAAATGAATGAAATCAAAAGTGAGCAATCAATCAAATTCCAAAGCAGATCTAGGGAACTAAAAAATGGAATTTCCTCAAACCAAAATGAAATAATTCTGTACGAAAATTGAAAAGCTCTGTCATGGATCTGCACCTCGTCAAAGAAAACATGGTGTTTGGAGTATAGTTCTTCGAGAATAACTAATTTTTATTTTGAAATACTCATATAATATTCAAGAGGCAATTAATAATTTTTGAAATTTTGTGATAATATTTATTTAAAAAAAAAAAATAAAATGAATTTTCACATATGTATAACTAAATCAAAAATCAAGTATATTTAATTAGAATTAATCCTTCACCTTCAATAATAATAACTTTTTGTAGATTTGTAAGTAAATCTATAGTGTAGATTTACTAACAAAATCAATTCATATCTCAATCAATTCAATTCAAATGAGTTGAAAATGAATTGCCAATTCCTTTTTCTAAATCATTTGAATTAATTCAAAATCAATTCAATTCAAATGAATTGGAAATGAATTGCAATTAATTTGACAAATTCATTTGATTTAGAAACGAATTGCAATTCATTTACCAAATTCATTTGAGTTGGAAATGAATTGTAATTTATTTTTACCAATTTCATATGAATTGACTCAAATTTCATTCAATTCATTTTTTATGTAAAAAGAATTAATTCAAAATTTCCTAATTCAATTCACAAATAATTCAGGAATTAATTAAAAAATTAATGATTCATTTACAGCTCTGTTATTTATATTATTCTGAATTTAAAATTTGTCTATAATGCGAAAATTCGTTGAAGTAAAAAATTAAAAATTCACAATTTTTTGAATTTGCTCTAAAATCTTAACATGCTAATATCGCGGCTTAATGATTTTAACATGTAAATTTTTAAAGTATTTCGATCACGCGATATTTTGGGTATATTGAAGTTACGCTGTCAGTGTTCCTTTTTTCGAAACGTTTACGTTTATTTCTCCAAAATTTAAGACTCTCCCACAGTGATATCTTCTAGAGCACATTTTAGAGATATACATCAAACGACGCGTAATTACAATGTCTACTTTTTCTCATTTCAAAATTTTGCGTAACCGAACAGCCGCAAATATTCTATCAAAAAAACTGCAAATTTTGTAAAATTGTATAAATTTGGTTTTAACTTTAAGTGTTTATTTCTACAACGTGGGACTACTTTTGCACAAAATTTTACGGACTTTTCTTTCAAGTCTTGAGAATAAAAATTCATCATCACATACTTTTCAAGATATTAAACCAAAGAAATATTTAATACATAAAGTTGATTTCTTAAAATCTAAAATGAAATGATAATTGCTCATATATTATTTGTTGTTGTGTTGTATTTCTTTTCCATTTTTAAAAGATTTTTTATTTTGAATGTTTTGTTTAAAGGTGTTTTACATTATGTGATTTTTTATTAATAAAATGTATTATTTGAAAAAGTATTGTAATGTGAAACACTAATGTAATTTGTATTATGAAAAGTATTGTAAAATAATTGAAATTTTTTTAACAATTAAAAACGATTTAATATTGTTTATATAAATTTCAGTTTTTTTTAATTCTGTTTTATTTTATTTATTATATAATAATATAATATAAAAAATGTATTTTCTCTTGAACAAAATGTCTGGTTTGAATTACAGATATAAATTTATTTTCTTTCCTTTATAAAAATTTATTATTTTGTTATATAAATACATATGTATGTAATTTCATATATATCAATTTATTAAAAAAAATATCAAATAAAATAAAAAAAAAAAATAAAAATAAACGAATTCGATTGATTACTGTGGGGGCTTGAAGTAGTATAGTCTTTAATTGACATGATTTTGTTAAATCAAATAAGAAAAAAATTATTATTTTTTTAATTTTTTACATCGGTTATGGAAAAAATTGGAAACAAAATTATTCTCACGTTTACATTACAAATATTTTTAATACATCTAATAGACAGGACGAACAAAAGTGCTGTATTTAAATAAAAACTCTAGTAAGGGAATAATGTTTGTCTAATAGGAAATCTATACCTGACAAATATTTATTACAATAAACATCAATTATATGTTAAGAGAATAACGTATTCATTAACTGGTTTTATGACAATGTGACGGCATATGATCTTTGTTGGGTCTCTTAGTAGTTGGTCCAGCCGGTACAATGGTCACTTAAAGAAAGTAATACAAAATGTATGTCATACAAATATTTGTAACTGATACAATTAAAATACCTTCTGTTCCATTTTGATGTGTTTCTCTCTTTTACGCGTTACAGAGAAGACTGGTGTCGGTATAATTGTTATATCCTTTTCCAGATCAATAATTGTATTGGTGATCCAAACGATTAGCTATTTTAGTAACACTACCAGGATCCTTCTTTTTCAGCAACAAAATATTCTTTATATACATATGTAACTGATTTCCCAAACATGCGAGTTGTAACTGTCGGAAAAGGATAAAAGGGAAAAGGATAAAGGATAAAAAATAAAGAAATGATTTATTATGATGATGTGAAGTAGTATTTGTGCAAACTAATACATAATAATAAATTACAAGATGTGTTGTAAAACTTTTTTAACATCATACTTACCTTCTGATGATTTAGTATTTGAGGAAGATTCACAAGATTTGCCCATATTTGAGACATCGGGCCACAATGTGTTGTGCCATTAAAAATACCAGCTTTTGTAACTGATGTTGCTCCACCACTACTACTGTGTCAGAAAAAACCTGTACACACTTTTTTAGACAAAAAATTGTCTTATTGTCTTGAGAATTGAAAGAAAATCTGGATGAAGTGTAACAGATACTTATACCGAACATTTCTGTCAGAAAAGCATCTCGTAAAGTTAAATGCTCTGATTCTTGTGTGCGCAAAGTTGAAGTCGTATAAAGTTCGGAAAGTTCCAGATCAATTCGGTAAAGGGCTTAAAAGAAAAAAAAGAGTGAAAATTAAGGTATTTTATAAAAAATAAACTTGTTGTGTGATGGATGATGAAACTTATGTACTGGGAGAATTTTCACAACTTTCGGGTCAAGAGATGTTGAAGAATAAAACCGGAAAAAAATATCATGACTTGCTGCTGCCACTGACATATATATGCTGTTGTTGTTGTAACAGATTGGCTATGACTGGACGTCCTTCTTGGGAAAAAATTCCGGTTGATACAGTTATTGCTGAGTTGATAATAATTGGCCGATTGAGAATCGGGTCGTTCCGGAGCGGAGATCCAATTGTCGTGGGAACGCATACATACATATGAGGCTGCTTAACCAAACTACAACAATATAAAGCTCGTGCAAATGTTCCAATGAAACGCGATATAACCAAAAACTGATAATTTTTTGGATCCGTTAGTATTTTACTTGAATTCCATACTAAAGTTTCTAATTTACGTTTATCGGTGGTAATGACGTTATGCTTAGCAGAAATTTCTCTATGTTAACGAATAACAACACGAATTTCACCTTTATCAGCCAAAATAGTTTTATCAGTGGGTTCAAGGACCAAACAATAGAAAAACGTATCCTGCAGAAAGAGAAAAGCATTTAAGTTATTCACTTTTTTATGAAATAAATAATAAATTATAATGATGAAATGTTAATATAAGAATAACTTTTGGCTATGGAAATTTTTTTTTATTTTTCTATTTGTTAAAAAACCCAGTCAAATTTTGAGATAACTTAAAACTAACTCATGGTTAACCACAAATGAGTCAGAGCTGACTCAAAAGCTAACCATTTTGCTTGTACTTTTTGCTGGTACTTTTTTCTCCCTATTGAAGTAATAAACATTTTATACTAAAAAGTTACAATATCGTAGTGGTAGCCCATCATTACCCAGCAAAAAATAATAGATGTCATACTTTACAAACGACATCTTAAACACATCTAAAAATGCTATTACATATTTTTCGCTTTTATAAACCAAATATTTCCTGATGTAGAAAAGTCACTACAAATAACATACTCGAAGTACATCAAATTTTGGTGAAATGTCATTGAAAGAATGTGGTTTATTTTTACATCCAAATATCGGATTTTTACTGCTTCTAAAAATAAGATTAGATATAGTTCAAAGTTGTCAAAATTGAACAACATCCCTCTAATGACACGCTAATATAAAATTCTTATGTTTTCACCAAATTTGGAAGTACTTCAAGTATGTTATTTGTGGTGAAAATTCTACTTCTTTTTCCTCACTTGTTTTGCTGGGTAAGTATTCATTCATGTGTACAAGTCAATACATAAAACATTGTATATAGAATGTTTTGTATTAATTCAAATTAATTGTTTGCAAAAAGTAATTGGCTAATTAGTTATATTAAAATTTGAAATAGTAACATGATGTGTTATATATCACTAGAGAAAATAACATTAGTGAAATACTTAATAACCGATTTTTAATAATTTTTTTCTAAAACCCTACGTTTTTGAACAATATTTATTGGCTCATTTGAATATTTGAAACTTCTTTATTTTTATAAACATTTTTAAAAGATTTTGTAATGTGCATATCCGCCGTTATTCGATATACATAACTTCGAAAATTCGAGGTGATAAATAGTTATAAAGATTCTTAATTAATGTTAAGGAAATTTCGGCACAAGCCTTTTTATTAATTCCTTCAGATTAGGCTTCTTTTATGTCATACTGTCTGCCCGACTTATACACTTTACGAGAAAGAATATCCAATAATAAATAAGTGAGGAGATTATGGAGGCTGTTCCAAAATTTTTACATTCTGGCTTCCAATACATCTTTTTACAGCGTTGGCGGTATGGTATGGTATGGCAAGGGTACAAAGATATCAGAAAATGTGAAAAAGCTGTTTCTAGTATGGCCTTACAATTATTACAGTTCATACTAGATGAAAGAAATTAAAGTTCACATGTTTCATAATATGAAGTTGTCCCCCACATCATCCCACTTCCCTCACAGCAATGGAGACAAGTCAGTTAGAGTTCATCCTTTAAAAAATCATAAAAATAGTAATTTTATCTATCTGGACTTTCTAAATCAAACTTTTTTCATCCAAAAAAAACAAGGTATTGCTTTTTATAACCCATGTGTTCACGTGCAAACTGAATACGTTTTTTTCTTTACGAGTGGCATTTTTAAATTTGTTCATCTTTTTAAAGCTTTGCCTCTTCATACAATACGTTTTACTGCGGCTAGGCTTTCTTTAATTTTGGTAACGGCATCTGTTTTTGTGAAAAATTTTATGAAATCTCTTATTTTACTTTTGTTTGCTAGCTTTTTACACAGCTTTGACGATGCATCCATACGTATAGGAAAGCAGTCTAATATTCATTACTTAATAATGATATCGGTATAAAATTTGTCACGAATATATTTTGTATATATACAAATCATTTTGCGAAATATTTTCCGGTTCGGCCCATAATTAGGCATAGCTTCATTCCGAAATGACTTAAACGCACAAAATTCAATTCATTGCAATAGAGTAAACAAAATGTTTAAGCTTTCACATTTTATACAATTAAGGATGTTTAAGTATTCGTAATTCAGCTCCATTATCGCATAAGGGGAATCAGGCAGTCCTTTTTGCTCTGCCTTCGACGTTTTACGTTTCAAACCGCATTGGTCAAATGTGTGACGTCGAATAACTGTACCGAGTTACGGGTTTTTGAGATGCATGTTGACCATATGCAATCGTGTTAACTTAACCTAAGTTTAAATTTTGATTATGGTAGAGAACCAAAAAACTCAATTTGATATTCTGTCCAGTCGTACTGGAATAATTGGTGTTGGCGTTATAATCTTTCGATTCGGCCAAGAAGTCTTAGCTGCAGGTGCAGCTAATCAAACTTAAAGTACAAACAAATAAGGATAAGAATAAGATTTAAGATTCTTTGTAGAGGAATATAGCACTCTATCTTGTTATTATATTTACATATATATTTCCTGTAGGTTCACTTGTTGTATGGTCAATTATTTTGGGGTACACTTATCAAAATGTAAAAATCACATGTTCTTACCTTGGTGTCTCATTTATGAAAAGGCAAATCGAAGGAACAGCATTATACACTAATTCGGTTTTCGCACCAATTTTAATGAACGAGGATGAATGAAAATGATCCATGCAAATTTTTTCAGTTTTCCCGAATTCTTTCTGGCAAGCTTCGCTCCACTTCTTCCTCCTCCGTTCATCTTTTGGAATGGAGAAAAAACTTCCTTTTGATAGATTGTCTTTTTTTTTGCAAAGGCAGCAGCGTCTCATTGTTTACAGCTTGTTTTTTTATTTATTCTTTTAAATATATATTAAAAATATGCTGCTAATTTTATTTTTCACTTTTTTCTTTTATTTCTCTATTATTTATTTTTTAGCACTTTAACAATTAAAAATTACTTTTTCCACTTTTCATTATTTTTTCAACTTTTAGCAAATAAAAACCAATTAAAAATGGCTCCATAAACAATTTTGAAAGTTGTCAAAATATACTTTGACAACTTGCTTAAATTACAAATTGTCAAAATACAGTTTGACAACTTGCATTCATTATCGAGCTTTAAAAAAAATAGTCAGCTGTTCTAGTGATGCTACTGTATTTATATACTTTGTCTATGACCAAAAGATTCTATTTTATATCAGTGGTGGCCAGCGAGAGAGTGCTTAAAACGCATATGTTGTAGTGAAAAAATAAAAGAGTACACAAATGAAAATACGTGTGATTTGCACTGAAACAAATTATTTGTTTGTATTTATTTTGTGTTATTCATATAACAAATTTGTCTTTTAATGAATAACGGAAGGTATGTACTTATGCGATGATTTAAGTATTATTGAATGTCTTGATGCATGCGTATGTATGTATGTATGTATGTATGTATGTATGTATGTATGTATGTATGTATGTATGTATGTATGTATGTATGTATGTATGTATGTATGTATGTATGTATGTATGTATGTATGTATGTATGTATGTATGTATGTATGTATGTATGTATATATATATGTAGGTATATATGTTGTATGTATGGATTTATGTATGTATGCATTGATGTATGGATTGATGTCAGTATGTATTGATGTATGTATGCATTGATGTATGGATTGATGTCAGTATGTATTGATGTATGTATGTATTGATGTGTTGATGTTAATATGTACCGATATATGTGATGAAGTATGTGTGTATTGAAGTATGTGTTGATGTAAATATGTACTGATGTATGTGTTGATGTAAATATGTACCGATGTATGTGATGATGTAAGTGTGTATTGAAGTATGTGTTGATGTAAGTTTGTACTAATGTATGTGTTGATGTAAATATGTACCGATGTATGTATTGAGCTTCCTTAAATATATTTAAACAGAATAAAAAATCCTTCTCCCACTCAATATTCCACATATTTAGTTTTTTATAATATAGTAAAACCTGAAATAAACATTTATTTGTAACGGCTACTGAAAAATATTCGCCGTGTATCATAACATCAAGCGACATAGACCTTCTTCGTTGAATGCCAACAAGCAACTGAATAAACTTGTTTTTGTTTTGTGTTTACTTTGTGTTTTTACTCACAGTATTCGTATTGCGTATGTATTAATGAGAATAACATAACTACCCCGGGGTAGTGTTTGGCCACCAACGTTTTATATGTTCTCATTTACTCCGGGGTCTACATCGTTGGTGGCCAAACACTACCCCGGGGTAGTTATGTTATTCTCATTAATACATACGCAATACGAATACTGTGAGTAAAAACACAAAGTAAACACAAAACAAAAACAAGTTTATTCAGTTGCTTGTTGGCATTCAACGAAGAAGGTCTATGTCGCTTGATGTTATGATACACGGCGAATATTTTTCAGTAGCCGTTACAAATAAATGTTTATTTCAGGTTTTACTATATTATAAAAAACTAAATATGTGGAATATTGAGTGGGAGAAGGATTTTTTATTCTGTTTAAATATATTTAAGGAAGCTCAATACATACATCGGTACATATTTACATCAACACATACATTAGTACAAACTTACATCAACACATACTTCAATACACACTTACATCATCACATACATCGGTACATATTTACATCAACACATACATCAGTACATATTTACATCAACACATACTTCAATACACACATACTTCATCACATATATCGGTACATATTAACATCAACACATCAATACATACATACATCAATACATACTGACATCAATCCATACATCAATGCATACATACATCAATACATACTGACATCAATCCATACATCAATGCATACATACATAAATCCATACATACAACATATATACCTACATATATATATACATACATACATACATACATACATACATACATACATACATACATACATACATACATACATACATACATACATACATACATACATACATACATACATACATACATACATACATACATACATACATACATACATACATACATACATACATACATACATACATACATACATACATACATACATACATACATACATACATACATACATACATACATACATACATACATACATACATACATACATACATACATACATACATACATACATACATACATACATACATACATACATACATACATACATACATACATACATACATACATACATACATACATACATACATACATACATACATACATACGCATGCATCAAGACATTCAATAATACTTAAATCATCGCATAAGTACATACCTTCCGTTATTCATTAAAAGACAAATTTGTTATATGAATAACACAAAATAAATACAAACAAATAATTTGTTTCAGTGCAAATCACACGTATTTTCATTTGTGTACTCTTTTATTTTTTCACTACAACATATGCGTTTTAAGCACTCTCTCGCTGGCCACCACTGGTCTACATACTTAATTTCATGTTCCTAAGTTCAATAAAATAATATAATAAACTCAAAAAGTACCAGTTATAAAACAAAAATGTATCAAAAAGTCCCCTTTTATAGGTTATCGTTTACTGCTGGCTCTACATGCTTAATTTTATGTTTCTAGTTTCATTATTATAGAAAATTCAAAATGTACCTTTTAGTGAACGGAAAAGTACTAAAAATTCCCCTTTTCTAGATTCTCATTACATTCGGGCTTCACATGCTTAATTTCATGTTTCTAGGATCAATATTTAAAAATCACAAAAAAAACCTTTTGAAGAACGAATAAGTACTAAAAAGTTCCCTTTTATATGTTCTCACTTACTCCGGGCTCCACGTGCTTAATTACATGTTTCTAGGTTCAATTTAATAGAAAACTCAAATAAGTACCTGTCGAAGTACGATAAAGTACCAATAAGTCCCCTTTTATAGATTCTCATTTACTCCGGGCCCTACTTGCTTAATTTTATGTTTCTTGGTTAAATTTTATAGAAAACTCAAAAAGTACCAGTTGAAGTACGATAAACTACCAATAAGTCCCCTTTTATAGATTCTCATTTACTCCGGGCTCTACATGCTTAATTTCATGTTTCTAGGTTTAATTTTAAAGAAAATTCAAAAAAGGACCTGTGTAGAACGAAAAAGTACCGAAAAATCCCTTTATTATTAATTTCATGTTTCGATTTCAATATCATAGAAAACTTAAAAGGTACCAAAAAATATCTCTTGGTACCGGTGTTCCCAATAACACCCCATTAGCATATTTAGTGTTTCTAAATCTAAAAAATCGTATATAAATTCCGATTTCCCGCTTTTACCCCTTTTGGTACTTTTTCCCTCTCCATTAACGAAATAAAAATTCTATTCCAAAAAGTTGCAACATCGTATTGGGAGCCCGTTATTATGTATTCATATGTATAAGTTAATGTTCTATGAAAAAAGTACCAAAAATAGGTACAATTTTCACCCCTATCCAAAAAGTACTAAATTCGTATTTTTTCTTCAAGTTATAAAGGAGTCAAAAATTTTTTTTGAATGTTCCCTGGCTTAAAAGATATGTACATGGGGTAAAAAAAAGTACCAAAATACAGTTTTACCCGTTTATTCCCTAAAGGGGCCAAATTTGAAAAAAGTACCAGACACCAGTCCACTTATTTTTTAAATGAACGACGATAAGCTTTAAACTGTTTTTGTATCTTTTCTAGAGAGTTAAATTTTTAATTTTTTTTCCATCCCTGCATAATTTCTCACACAACTTTGGTGCTTGCTCTATTTTATTGTTATAAATTATATCAAAATCCCACTATTTTATCTCTCGGATTCCGTTTTTATATAAAATCTTTGGAAATTTGTAAATTAAGCGTATTTGATACTTAGCCAGCTTACAGTCGATTTTAAGCCGCCGCCGATATTTTTAGTGTCAGCCGCCGCCACCTTTATTAATATTTGTCGGCACAAGGCTCTTGTCTCTCTTCTCTGTGCAGTTTGTCAGAATTTGTGCACGTTGCTGTTTTTTCAGTCAGTGTGAATTTACTATTTATTTTTTGCAACAATAATACAAGGTTTTTATTTAAATTTATCTATTAAACTAATACAAATATTTAGAAAAACTCATTATCTATAATACAGTTGAAAGAATTGTGCTAAAAAAATGGTGGCAGGCAAAAGCGGCTCCCCTGACAAAATAACAAGGGAAGATGTGTGTCGTATTCCAGAGACCATATCATTTCCCGGCGAAGAAGAACATGTGCTAAACGAATGGAAGGAAAACAAAATTTTCGAAAAATGTATGCAGCTTTCAAAGGGTAAACCAAAGTAAGTATTATTTGGATAATAAATCGCAGAAACTCCCATAGAAATTGCATCATTTTTACAAGAGAAATGTCAGGTTAGAGGAATGAGTGTATATTTGTGTGAGAGTATTTGCTAGAGGCTATATAAATGTGTGTGAGTCAACGTATGACTATAGCAAATCTATGAATTTCTAGGTATACTTTCTATGATGGTCCTCCCTTTGCCACTGGTTTGCCGCATTATGGTCATATTTTGGCTGGTACCATTAAAGATATTGTAACACGCTACGCCTATCAACAAGGCTATCACGTGGATCGTCGTTTTGGTTGGGATTGTCACGGTCTGCCCGTTGAATTTGAAATCGACAAAGTTTTGAACATACGCGGACCTGAAGATGTCGCTAAAATGGGTATTGCTGCATATAATGCTGAGTGCCGTAAGATTGTTATGCGTTATGCTAACGAGTGGGAGGATATTGTAACACGCATGGGCAGATGGATTGATTTTAAAAACGATTACAAGACATTATATCCCTGGTATATGGAGTCTATTTGGTGGGTTTTCAAACAACTTTTCGATAAGGGTTTAGTGTATCAGGGTGTTAAGGTTATGCCTTACTCTACCGCCTGTACTACGGCTTTGTCTAATTTTGAATCTGGTCAAAATTATAAAGAAGTTGTTGATCCCTGTGTGGTGGTGGCCTTAGAAGCTGTTGGTAATGATAATACCTATTTCTTGGTATGGACTACTACACCCTGGACATTGCCCTCAAATTTTGCCTGTTGTGTTAATGCAAATATGATTTATGTCAAGGTAAGTTGGAATTTGTATAATATCTAATTAGAATAATGCTTACATTGTAAGCAGTTAGTATCTGTAAAGTAGGATAAGATATGGTGAATAAATAGCATGTAAAAATATTGTAATTAAGTGTAGAAACTACGTGTTAAGCTTAATACTTTGAATAGCTGCTTTATTACGAACTAGTGCGCATATATTATCACTATTTTCTTTTGGATTTTGATTCAATACATTAAACTTTAATATAAAGGCACATACATTTTACGTATTAATTTCTTACAGGTTAATGATGTTAAAACTGGTCGCTTTTATATACTCGCTGAATGCCGTTTAAGTTACGTGTACAAAAACGAAAGTGAATATCAAATTGTTGAAAAGTTTGCTGGTAAAACTTTGGGTGGTGCTCATTATAAACCGGTATTCCCCTATTTTGAACAGCGCGGTCAAGAAGTTAGAGCATTCCGTGTCTTAGTGGACGATTATGTTACCGAAGATTCTGGTACTGGTATTGTACACAATGCCCCCTACTTTGGTGAAGACGATTACCGTGTATGTTTGCAAGCTGGCTTGATAACAAAATCCAGTGCAGTTATTTGCCCTCTAGATGATGCTGGTCGTTTTACGGATGAGGTTACCGATTTTAAGGGCCTATATGTGAAGGAAGCTGATAAGCAAATTATTGCTTATTTGAAAAATAAGGGTAACTTAGTGTCAGCTGGTCAAGTTAAGCATAGTTATCCCTTCTGTTGGCGTTCAGATACTCCCTTGATTTATAAGGCTGTACCCTCTTGGTTTGTTAGAGTAGAACACATGTCGAAAAATCTTTTGGCTTGCAGTTCTCAAACTTACTGGGTACCTGATTTTGTTAAAGAAAAACGTTTTGGTAATTGGTTGAAGGATGCACGTGATTGGGCCATTAGTCGCAACCGTTACTGGGGTACCCCCATACCCATTTGGAGATCACCCAGTGGCGATGAAATTGTATGTGTGGGTAGCATTAAGGAGTTGGAACAATTATCCGGCAAACGTATTACCGATTTGCATCGTGAAACTGTGGACGAAATTGAAATTCCCTCAGCCATACCCGGCAATCCTCCATTGCGTCGTATAGCTCCAGTATTCGATTGTTGGTTCGAATCAGGCAGTATGCCTTTCGCCCAACAACATTTCCCCTTCGAAAACGAAAAAGATTTTATGTCCAATTTCCCAGCCGATTTCATTGCTGAGGGTATTGATCAGACTCGCGGTTGGTTCTACACCTTGCTGGTCATCTCTACCGCTCTCTTCAATAAGGCTCCATTTAAGAATCTTATTGCCAACGGTTTGGTCTTGGCCTCCGATGGCCAAAAGATGTCGAAACGTAAGAAGAATTATCCCGATCCCATGGAAGTTGTTAAGAAATACGGTGCCGATGCTTTGCGTTTGTATTTGATTAATTCTCCTGTTGTACGTGCTGAAAATTTGCGCTTCAAAGAAGAAGGTGTTCGCGATATTATCAAGGATGTTTTCTTGCCCTGGTATAATGCCTATCGTTTCCTACTGCAAAATATTGTACGTTATGAAAAGGAAGATTTACAAAATAAGGGTATCTATACCTATGACAAGGAACGTCATTTGAAAAACATAGAAACTGCTTCAGTTATTGATATTTGGATTCTTTCGTTCAAAGAATCTTTGTTGGAATTCTTTGCTACCGAAATGAAGGGTTATCGTTTGTACACTGTAGTGCCCAGATTAACAAAATTCATTGATCAACTTACCAACTGGTAAGTATATTTTAATTTTTATTATAGACTAGTTTTCCAAATCCTTTTTCTTTTCAGGTATGTTCGCTTAAACCGTCGTCGCATCAAGGGTGAATTGGGCAAAGAGGAGTGCATACAATCATTGGATACTTTGTACGATGTCCTCTATACCATGTCTAAAATGATGGCTCCCTTTACACCTTTCTTGGCTGAATACATTTTCAAACGTTTGGTATTGTTCCAACCTAAGAATGTCACTGAAAATGCCGAATCTGTACATTATCAAATGATGCCTACCTCAAATCGTAATTTCATTAGAAATGACATTGAAAAATCCGTTGGTCTTATGCAAGCTGTTGTTGAATTGGGTCGTGTTATGCGTGATCGTCGTACATTGCCGGTCAAGTACCCAGTATCGGAAATTATTGTTATTCATAAAGATCAAAAGTGTTTGGATGCTATTAAGAGTTTGGAAGATTTCATTCTGAGCGAATTGAATGTACGCAAATTGACTTTGAGTTCGGATAAGGAGAAGTATGGTGTAACATTGAGAGCAGAACCAGATCACAAGGTAAGTAGGAAAATAAACAAAATTTTCAAGTTCTTGCCTCAAGTGTACAGTTTTTTATAATTTTCTTTATTTGCAGACTTTGGGTCAACGTTTGAAGGGTAACTTCAAATCAGTTATGGCTGCCATTAAAGCCTTAAAGGATGAAGAAATTCAAAAGTATTTGGCCCAAGGTTATTTCGAAATCGAAGGTCAACGCATTGAATTGGAAGAAGTACGTGTTATTTACTGCATTTCCGGACAAGTTGGTTCAAACTTTGAGGCTCACAGTGACAATGAGGTTTTGGTACTCATGGATATGACACCCAATGAAGAATTACTCGAAGAAGGTTTGGCACGTGAAGTTATAAATCGTGTACAAAAACTGAAAAAGAAAGCTCAACTCATACCCACCGATCCCGTTTTGATTTACTACGAATTGAATGCTTCTGCTCAAAAGAAAACCGAAGCCGAACAAATACTTAAGGTTATGAACAATTATCACTCAATGATAAAAACCGCCATTAAATCAGAATTTGGCAAATATGATGCTGCTGAAGCAGGCAAGAAGCGTGTTATAATTAGTGAAACGGTGGATCTTAAGGGTATTGATCTTAAACTTACCATCTGTTCAACGGAAGAGGTACAATTGCCTGTCCTTAAGTGGGTTAATGTGGCCTTGGCCTCAGATCTTACACCTCGTTTTGGCAGATCGAACAAGGCTTCTTTGTTATTGGAAAGCTCCAGCAACAAACAACTATTAAGCCTAGAGCAATTGAAACAAGAAATTGAAAATCTATTTGGTGTTTATGGTCTCAACTACAATATTTACCTGTTAAATCAACAGAAAGCCACAGAACTTACTCAAATCGATAATTCCCTTAATGGTAAACTATTAGTGGTCTCCCGTACAGCCGATGATGCCGCTAAATTCCCTCAAGATGCTGCTTCAAATATGCCCTATTGCAAATTTGTCAACAAATCTGGTTCGACTGTATTCACTGAAAATCCTTTGGGTTTTTCATTAGCCGCATAAAAGACTCTTTTTTTTTTAAACTCCATAACTTATCTTTGATCACAATATTTTTAGCAAGTGGTTTTTTTCGTGTAGTTTAATATTTATTTCCTTTTTTTTCCTTTTTTTAATACTTAAATTTTTTTATTATAAAATGAAGTTCGATTTAACAATTATATGGTATACGCTCTTTTTTTCGTATTTTTCCTTATTTATTTAAATTTTTTCGCTAAATACTTAATTTTTTTTTCATTAAATGAATGAATATTATTTAAATGAAATGTATTTTAGAATAATCTCAAAGATTGTATTAAAAGTAATTAAAATATTGTTTTAAAATAATACTGCGAAATGAATAAATAAATGGTTTATAATTTTAAAATGTTGTGGCGAATTTGTTTTTTTTTTGTCTGAATTTTCGAACAGCTTCTTTGGTTTGAATATGCATAAATTTTGGCATTCACTTGGGTATATCATACTGATCACTTCCTCCTAATTACTATGGTATGTATCGAAACCTGTTTGTACAAATGTTCAACGCGGATCTATTAGATCAAAAAAACGTGCTTGTCTAATGTGTCAAACCTAAGTTCCGTTAGGGCCGAGCAGAGGAAGTGAGTAAGTTTGTCACACGAAAAAAAGAGCTTATATGTTCAATGGAATAATATTCCCACATTCAAAAACCAAGCAATTAAACACGAACTCTAAATCAAGATTTCAAAAATTGGAACTGGTGTTCGAACAATTCATAAAGAATCGATAAAAGTTTCCTCATATTTATGGCCCAATAGTATGATTTCTGAGCAGGTTAAACTAGCTTCAAACTTCAATAACTGCTGGCTATTACCACACTATACAGACATACATACATACAGTCATTAGACAAAAATATATGAAATTTTCTATAAAGATATGAAATTCTATTGAAAATTTTCTTTAGATGATGCTTTTGCTTTGATGAGTTATGCGGAAAATTAAAAACAGAAATATCAACTTGAAAATGTTATTCATACATCTTTCAATTAAGAACAATAAACTCTTTGAATTAGTCATGTTTTTTGTCTATTTATGTTTTAATATGATTCAAAAGGGATATCCTTTTGAAAATTTGTTTGTATTTGTGTTTCACTACTTGTGGTACATATAAAGGAAAACTACAAATAAATAAAGTCAATCACAGTTTTTATGTATAAAAATGGCGATACCGACTTATTTGCATGTTATGGTAGGAGTAAGTTAGTCGATTTGGTCGGCCT